TTTTAATCATTAATTACTCAAAAATTACTTGACAATTTATTTTAACTATTTTGCACACAAAAGCTAATGTGTTTGATTGTAATGGTAATAAGTATTGGTTATCATTGCTATCAGATTAAAATAAGTAAACAAATGTTTAAACTAAAAAAAGTTTTAGAAATTTTTATTCAAAATCCTTCATTGTGACAAGTTGACATTTCAAAATTGACTGGTGTTTCTTGATCATCAGTTGGATTTATTTTGTGGCGATATAAAAAGACTCATTCTATTAAAAGCTGGAAGTGGTAAAAAAAAATAATATTTAAAGATAAATTTAAAGTAAAATCAATCATTCGCTACATGAAGGCAAATCCATGTCTGTTACAAAGAGATCTTGCGAGAAAATTTAAATGCAGCTTTGATAGGAAAAGTACTTAGATCTCAAGAATATAAAGCACATCATAAAAGAAACTCAGCAATCCATTGATGGAGAAATTAAAGTAATTCATTGTTCAAAAAAGCTTTATGATTTATTAAACCGTGACAACTTGTACTTAATTGACAATGATGAAACCTATTGCAAAGAGAACTTTTCACAATTGCCAGGGCAGCAATATTTTTATCAGTTGAAAGATAGATTAGTTGGCAATAAATTCAAGTATATTTAAACAGAAAAATTTGCTCCCAAGTTCCTTATATAGCAAGTAATCTGCTTCTGTTGTTTAAAAAGTGCACCATACATTACTCGTAAAACTTTGAATGCAGTTTTATGTATAAAAGAATGCTTGAAGAAACGTCTTTTGCTATTTATTAAAAAGCATGAAATGCCCACAATATTTTGGCCTGATTTGGCTACAATTCACTACTCCAAGAATTCGCTAGAATGGTATAAACAAAATGGCGTCGAATTTGTACTTAAGAAAGCAAATCCTCCAAATTGGTCTGAGCAGCGAGTTATTGAAAGTTATTGATCAATCATAAAAGGAATCTTATTAAAAAAAAAGAATTTACCTACAAATAAAAAAGATTTTAAGAAAAAATGGATGGCCGCCTCAAAAAAATAACTCAAAGCAAGATCTAGCAGATAATGTCAAGTACTCACAAAGATATTTGGTTTTTACCTAAGCGTCCAATAAAAAATGTAAAAAATTATTGAAATTAATAATTATTAATTAGCTTCATTGTGTCAAAAAATTGCAAAAATCTGTAAAGTAGTTTTCGCGTAATTAACAACTAAAGAGTGCTGAATTTCATCATGTTCAATTGATATTTAAAATGTATATTATATATTACATACATGTAAGTTATGTATATATTCATACACAAATGATCCCTATTGATCTGACAAAGTGAAAAAGAATATATATATATTTTTTCCTTTTTTTATTATTAAGCAAAGTTTGATTAACTAAGAACATGAATTTATCCAATTGAACTTGACTTTACAAATTTCTATAATCAAACAAAGTTAAATATCATTTAATGTAAGTATTGTTTTACTGTTACCGAATTTTAGAACCTTATACTAAAATTAGGTAATTAGTAGTAGTAATTATAGCAAAATTTAGAACCTTATACTAAAAATTAGAAAACTTTTAATTCAGCTTACTCTTAAGTAAGATTTAAATTTTTGATATTTTAACGTAGGCTTACTCAAACTTTTTTCTTTTACTGATACATTTCTTTTTACATGCACTGCTAACTCCTTTTTAGAATTAAAGAATTCTCTTTTGGCTCGTAGCTTTAGCACTTGTTTCTTAATTTTTAACTTCTCTTCAGTTAAGTAACTCTCTATATTTACAGTTGGCAGGCAGAGAGCTGGAGTGAGTTTTTTTTTCCAGACAAAGATTGGTCATTGTTCCCATTTTCTAATGTAGTTACAGTATCTAATATTGTACAAATTGCAGCATCAATTTGCAAACAACTTCAATGTTACTGATTTTCCACCACTTCCAACTTTAAACATATCAAAGAATTTTTTCTGTATATATATATATATATATATATATATATATATATATATATATATATATATATATATATATATATATATATATATATATATATATATATATATATATATATATATATATATATAATATTTGCTGGCTCATTTCTGTTAAAATAAAAAAATGGCCACCCTTAGTTATAATTTTTTTGTTGTTGCAGAAATTATTTTTTCACACTGGTCACTGGTCACACTGGTAACCGTTCTTTTGTCATATCCTAAACTGTTTACAGTATCGGTGATCTGAAATATAAATAAGTACTAAATAATTAATGCTGCCTAAATCAATTTTTTATTCAATAAATATAATATAAAAATTTACCTCATTCCATATATAATTTCTTTATTTATTAATCTCTGCTTTTTCATCCTTAGAAGTAAGAACAGTTTATGTTCTTCAAAATTTATGTTCATCCTAAGACAAAAGAACAATTTATGTTCTTCAAAATTTATGTTTTTCAAACTTAGCATTTTCCAACCTTTTTTTTTTCTGTGACTTTTTCTCTGGTTATGGTTTCTTCTTAGTTCCTAATAACTAATTTCTGTTAATAATCTAATGTATGATAAAAATGAATCTTTTTAAATATTTTATGATAAATTTGTTATGTCATTAAGGTAAATTATTAAATGACTCTTATGAAATAAACTTATGTGAAAGTGATTTAGAACAAGTCTGGCTGGACTGTAGTTGTAAAGAGAAATTAAAGTATTTAGTTGTCCAAAGAAATTTATAAATATTGATAACTTGAAAAAAGTCTTGACAATTTCATTTCTCAATGAGAAAGACTTTATTGATTTGTTAATAATGGGAGATTTTAATTTTCCAAATATACAATGGCCAAACAACTTATTGAAAGTAATGATGATTTCTTAGAGCATAAATTTCATGATGTAATTAGTGACTTGAATCTCATACAACATGTGTCTGTTCCTACCTTTCAATTATTTGATAAGGAAGTCAATAATTATTCACTACAGCTACCTCTGCTCTTCTACTACCGCATTACTCTTTAATAGTGTATTTGAAAATTATCATTAAATTCTATTAAATAGTACTATAGTATATAATAGACCATTAGTCATAGTCTAGATCTGTAATGAATGACAAAACTTATTAAAAATTGAAACTGATAACAAGTTTTTATAACTATAATGCTATTTGTGAAACATTGCAAGGAGATTATTATTTGTAATGAGTCTGTGTTGCAATACTTATTATTTTCCACCATATAAGTCGTATAAATAAAATAAAAGTTAAAGCAGTAAGAACATTTAGAATTCTTTATTTCTTATATTTTCTTATGCAATTCAACTCATTCATATGCATTTGGTTTTTGAATAAGTAAGACTTCAAGAAGTTTTAGTTTGACAAAATCAAATGATGTAAAAGGTTTTTTAGAGACCAAAAGATATTTATGATGACCAAAGGTTTAGGTTTTGTCGAAGTTTTATTTTGGCAAACAGATTTACAACCTAAAATAAAAAATAAAAACATTTATGTTCTGCTTATCTTTCAAGTGAAATATGTACATTTTGATTTTTTGAAAAAGGATCTTTCGTAATTATGGTTGGTTTGTAGTCGGTGATTCTACAGAAGCTTTACTATTTCTAGAATTATTCGTTGATTTTCTTTGATTCTTAGTAAGAGAATTAATAAATCAAATAGCCAACTAATCCAAATATTTAAACATAGATGAGTTTTTTCCGGGAATTCCCATAATTCCGGAAATTCACTTAAAACTTTTTTAATTTCCAGAAGTTTCCGGCTGTTTTTTTTTTTTAATTTGAAAAAATTTTGTTATGATTTTACATAAAATAGTAATACAATACTTTGAATTAGTTAAAGCATTTAGTTTAACAGTTATATGCCTCGATGGGAATTTAATACAATGTAGCATACACATAGACCAGAATAGTTGCCTCCTGGTTAATTATTCCAGATTTGATAGAAAACCTTCATCTTTTCCTGAGCCTGTTATAGTATATATACATATATATATATACACACATATATATATATATATATATATATATATATATATATATATATATATATATATATATATATAAATTCACTTAAAACTTTTTTAATTTCCAGAAATTTCTGGATGTTTTTTGTTATAAATTTGAAAAAAACAATTATATATTTCTAAATAAATTTTTAAATACGACAACTTATGCATGTAAACATGTTTTCTGTAATTAAAATTTTCACGAGATTAATTATCGTAACAATTTTTTTTTATTTTTTAATTCATTCAAATTAACTTTTTCGAATATTTTAATTCTTTTTTATAAAATGTTAAATAATCTAAATTCCGTTTTAAAAGTTTACGAAAGTTTTTGTTGTATGTGAATATGATGAATTTTTAATAAAATAATTTTCTAGGATTTTCCGGGATTTTCATAGAAAAAATTCAAAAGTCAAATACTCATCCATGATTAATGCATAGCACTCGTGATAAAGCGACATATAATTGCCCAAACTTCTCAAAGTTTCTAGAAACTTCAAGAAGTTCTAGAAACTTCTAACGTGTTTACATTTTAAATTTGCTGGTTTTTGTCGTAAGCGTCTTAGGGCGGGATGTAGGACAGATGGTAGGGTAGAACAGACAGGTAGGCGTCTCTGCTTTGTCATAGAGATACAAGATCCAAACAACTATCAAATGAACATATTTCAAAAATAATACGCAATAATAAAAAAGTCTTTTTTCTACCTTTCTTATCCTTAAGTTGTTTACCTTTCTGGTAGAAGTTTTGAAGGTTTGATTATTATTAAAATTTGTGTGCTCTTTAGGCTGAAACAAAAATGTCCTCTATAAATTATCTTAAAACAGAAAAGGCCTCTATATGACTATCTGAAAAATTATTTTCAATTTAAAACTCTATTAATTTGTTGAAAAGTTTTAAATTTCATCAAAATAACAAAAAAATAATAAATTAAAGTTTAGTTCTTTACACCTTTTTACCTTTAGGTCATAAATTGTATTATTTTATCCACTTTTGTACTAAGGTGTGAAAGACATTTAAAAATCTTTGGAAGAGAAGAAAGTGAAATGAAGATTGCAAAAGACTTTGCAATTCAAATAGTTCTTGAACAACAGAGCAATATGACAATTTACATTCGAGCAGTAGTTGCTGCTTATTTGTTACAGTATCAAAATGTGGAATTAGGTATGAAAATTATGTAATAGTTTATTAAGTTGAACTTTCTTTGGTACATAGAATAGATAAATAAAATAGATTTTAATAGTATTAAATAAAATATTTTGTGGTCTTTTTGTTAACTTGAAGACATTTACATAATTTAATCAAGAAGATTATATTGCTTTATTGAAACAAAATTTTAAAAACATTTTTATCTCCTATTATTCCTATAACTTTTTTTCAGGATTATAAAATAGATTTAAAAGTGGCATATTAATCCAACATTGATAAATATAATATAAAACTTAGTTATTCTGCAGTAGTGAAGCAAATATAAAAAAAAAATGTTGCAACTTGCCCCGCTCTGGGGTATTTTGCAACAGTGAGCAACAGACTAAGTTGCAACACAATACTTTGAAAGTAGAAGCCTTGCAGAATTTACTAAAAAATCACTAGTTAATCTGTAATTTCTATTTGGCAACAAAAATTTTATAGTTATAATAAAGTAGTATTTTCATTGAGTTGCAATACCTTTGTTATGCAAGACTGACTTGTTTAGTAAACTGATAATTACATGCAAAGATTTCAAAGACTGAAGAAATTAAATAACAAGGATTATTATTCAAATTAATTTCTTATTTTGATTCCTAAATGTTTTTGAAAAAAAAGTATTATCTTTGTAAATAAGCAATAAATTATTTTAGAAAAATGCAAAAAAAATTTTTAGGATATTTAAGTTATATTTTTAGGATATAATGACACAACATTTTATTTAAAATGTAAAACCAAACAATGTAACTTACCCCATAGTAGTAAGTATTATTATTATATTATTATTAATATATTTTTAAACTCTAATTTACTTCCAAAAAGGTTGCATGCAACCACTATTAAGTTATGAGTTACTTTAAAATAGAGGATAGGGTTAAAAACTAAGAAACGGTTAACTGAAGACTTGAAAAGTTGTAGGTTGTATTAAATAAGATAACATGAAGATGGGTAAGAGTTATAACGTTTTTTTGATGTACAAGGAAAAAAGCTTGAATAATCAAAGTTTAATAAAAATAAGATTAATAAAAAGCAGTTACTTGAAATAAAGAAGAGCGTAGGTCTTCAAAAATAACTTTAATACTGCAGATAGAAAAAAATGATTTAATAATCTCAAAATCTTTATATTATGAAATTAATTGCAGAGTAAAGATTAATTGTAAGATAGATAGAGAATCAAATTGTTTAGTAGAGTTTTTAAAAATTGGAATCACTTATTTAGCACATTTTAATAGTTTAGCAAAAATTGAAAAGAGTTCTGGAGAACACTTCTTTAAGACTATGATAGAAATCTTGTTTGAAGCACCCCAGTGGGCATGCGTCTTCTAGAAGATGTCTCCTGGATGTCCAGACATCTGTAAGACGTCCGAAGGATGTCCTCCGAATGATGCATGTCTATTGGGACTAACTGTAGAAGTGTTTAATTGAAAATTAACTTTAACATTGGAAGCGATTTAGATTAACATAGGAAGTGATTTAGATATTTAACAATAGGTTAACCTGTTAAACTGGTATGACAGGAAGAATATTTTATATAAGCCTTAATATAATATAAGCCTTTAGATTCAATAATCACGTTAGTGAAAAAGTTATTTCCAAATAACTCTACCCTATTCTAGGAAGAAGTAAAAAGACTTACTTTAGTTAATGACACTGTTGAAGACTTTTCAAAAGTCTCTAGAACCTAACATCTGAAATAAGATGTAAGATTTAGAAAACTGAAAATAACAGAACTTAACATTGGACAGGACGTTTTTATATTGGCTTCTTGCAATAATAAAAGGTCATTTGTTCTTAAGAGAGATGTTTTTGTAAGAAAGGTGAAAAAATTAATACTGTTTAACAGCAACTGTTCAAGATAGTGAAAAATGTTGAGTAGAATGAGGCTTGACTTAAAATTGAAGAGAAGGAATAAAAGCTTCCAAATTTTTATTTCAGATGGAATAAAACCTTCCAAGATGAACATTTATGAATAAATATTATGGATATAAACATATATGTTTGTTATTTATTTAGATGCTGGCATATCCTTTTATATTTATAAAAACTTTAGTATTTATATGATGTAGTATTTGCCAAAAGAGAAGATGATCAGATGCATGTGTGTTGTGACTCTAACAAGACAAGAGAAGGAGGCATAGTCTTAGATAAAAAAAATCGTTGTGTCCATCATTTTTTGCTAGAGAAGATTAAATTTGATTTAGATAATTGATTTAGGTATCAGAACGTAGAGAGGTAGCTGTTTCAGGAGAAAATGAAAAAATTTAAAGAAAGTGCCTTACATATGGTATAAGTAAGCTTTAGTTAAGAAAAGAAAATGTTCTTGATTGTGTATATTAGAGAAACAGCATAAAGGAGGAAGGCTAAAGCCTAATGATAATGATCTTGATGATGATGATGAGGATGATGTTGATAAAGATCATGAAGATCATGAAAGTAATGATGATTTATGATGATCATGTTGATCATAATTATGTTTATACATGCATATATATTCAAAATATAACATGAATTTTGAATAAAAAAAAAAAATAACTTGGATGTATAAATATTTATGCAGTCCCTGTCACAAATCCGGTTCCGGGTTTGTGACAGGGTATGCATAAACAGTTATAATTAAATGATAATTAATTAATTTTAGTTTATAAATGATAACTATCTAATATAATCTATCTTATAACCAGAAGTGTTTATCTGATCTTTTATTATGTTTTATTATATTAATAACTATTCATAAAACTGAATCTCTGGATTTTTACCTAATTCTTGGAATTTTACCTAATTCTTGGAATCTCTGGAATTTTACCTAATTCTTTCCAGACAACAATTATTCCAGTTTCCATTTCCAGAAATAACATTCATTTTGGTTAGGTTAATTTTTAACAACAACCACGCTGAATACAGGAAGCAAAAATATAAAAATGCAGAGCCTTTTCTAAAGCAAGAACAATAAACCAGACAGTCTTTTAAAACAAATTAAAAATTAAATTTTCACACATTTAAATAATTGATGTAAATAATATCAGGATTAATTTTTTTTTAATTTAAGTTAAAAAAGTTAACTTAAAAAAACGGATAGCTTTTGATAACCTTAGTTTAATGTATTTAAGCATAGTTTAATGTGTTTAATGAATGCAGTTCAAAGAATTGAATGCAGTTTTGATGGTTCAAAAAAATATATATGGTTGAGTGTAAAGAAAAATGTTATATATAATAAAATAACATCAATATATATTTTTTTCAGTTAATTTTGTTCCTTTTTTATTTTAAATTAAGAAAAAAAAAAAGAGTAAAAAAATTAACAAAAATCTCATATAATTTAAATCAGGCCCATAGCAAGTTTTTTGTTTTTGTTTGAGAATTTAACTTTATGCAAAGACATGGAACAAACTCAAAACATTTGTATGTTCATGTTTATGCAAAATAAAAGCTTTGCAAAAATTATTGCAATAATCGGTTTCTGTTAACAATAAATCCTTAAAATGTATCCTCCCCTGCCATTAGTGTGATACATTAGATAGCTACAAGTTAGATAGCTACAAGTTTTTAAAACATTTTTTTTTAACATTTAAAATTATTTTTAGGTTCATTGACAAATCTTTAATATCATGCAATAATCTCATAGTGTTCAAAAATTATGATCATATAAATTTTGAACATTCTCCCCCAATTATTTAATTTATAAATTATAATTTTGTCTGACAATCAAATTCTGTTCCTTGTCCAAAATCTCTAAGCAAAAGTTAATTTAACTCTTTTTTCATCAATAAGTAATTGAATGATTTGATTTCATTGTTTAAATTTTTCAAAGAATAACAAAGAAAATTTGTTTTAGTATTTTTAAGTGATTTTAGACTTTATTTGTATTTTTCAAATGATTATTGGTTTTTTTTATTAATCAAAGACAATCTTTAATACAGTGGCAGCTTTTTTATTTTCATAAATTTTATTTTCCAAGTTTGCTATTACAAATAATTAAAATTTTCTTTTATATAATATACAAATGGCTACAAAAAGAAAACAAAAAATTGCAAAGCCCAAAATAATATGTAAATAATATTGTCAACCTGTCATTAAACATTTAAGCTTAGCGTTGTGGAGGTAGGGAAGGGTAAGGGTAAGATGAGTTAGAACAAGACAACAAGCGATGGCTTGTTCTAATTCATCTTACTCTTCCCCCTCCTTAGGGTTTGGGGAAATTCTTGAGCAGGTGAGCATTTTTCATATCAAAGTGGCAAAAAAACCATACCAAAGTAAAACATCCTCTTAAAAAGTATGCAGCTCCCAAATCTGTGGGGATTGGGTTTATAGCTTTTAAATAATAAAAACATTTATGCAAAAAACTTGTTAAAAGAACTAAGAATTATGCCAATTATGTCTTTCAAATAGTCTACCTTTTTTGTGTCTACTATGGGTATATGTGTCTTCTGCTCAATGCCATGTTTCAGTTTTGTCTAAATTCCAGACTTTTTAAATGGTTGGCCAGAAATTAAATATTTTTGAGTTGATTGATTCAAGGAATGGTTTTTATAGCCAAAACTTGACCGAAACTAAAGAGGGCTTAAATCACGGACAGAAATCTGTTATTGATATTTTTTAAGTTCACAGGGAAGAAACACCTAAAACTGCGCAGACTAAATCTTGCCACAAACTAAATGTTAATTACTTAAAGTTTTACTTTTTTGCATTACTGTTGTACAAGATCGTCTCAGAGTTATTGTAGAAGTAAATTTATTTATTAAATATAGATTACTTTTAATTTACTTTACATATTATATAAAATGTAAGCTTATGTAATTTAAATTTTATTTTATATAATTTATTTTTAATAAAATTTTTTTATGATTTATAAAATAAAAAATTAGCTTTTATGTGTAAAATTAAACAGCTTTTCCATGTTTATATGTTAAAGTAAATTACTTTCAAAATTATGAGTTATAATCTAAGTTATAATCAAAGTTATAAACAACATTCTCTAA